CTACGCTGCGTATACGATAGAGTAAAAAAAACAACCAATCAAATTTCACTTATTTTCAGCTTTTGGAGAACCAATTGCTGATCGATCTTACTGGCAAAATAATTATAATCGACAGGACGCTGATCGAGAATGTGATGAAAGGTAAGTAGGGGGCCTATTTGTATTTAAATAAAACCAACGATTAGATTTATATGTAGTTCATAGCGCCTAATTATAAGCACAACATAGATATAGTATAAAAATTAATTTTACATTATGTACGCCCTATACTATAGTAAAGACTGAAACTTAATATAATTCAAGTCGATGCATAATATCTTAATAAATATTTACATCTAAAGAAAATATGAATTTAACTCTAATTCGAAACCTACGTCTAAAAATAATTTTAAAAATTAAGATTTCAATAAGAATACAACCCAGTGGCGTCACTAGGTTGAGTAACACCCGGTCCGGTGGCCCAGAAAGTCACTCTTCCGCCCATGACTATATGTGCCTATAAGATATATATCTACTTTAGAGGCGTAGCGAGGGTGACAACATTTAGGGGGTGACACCAAAGCATAAAATAGCAAAATATATAGAGAAAAATTTGAGGGGGGGGGGTGCAAATCGAAAACTAGAGAGGGGGGGTGCAAATCGAAAATTTGAAAGTTTGTCTCTGGGGAGGGTCGCTACGCCTCTGGGGGGTGACACCATTAAGTGCCGCACCGGGTGACACCCGACCTCGCTACGCCACTGACTTTAGGTAATGTGATGTCACCCAGAGGCGTCGCGAGGCGGGGGCGGGGGGGGATGCGGACGCACTGGGTGACACGAGGACCAAAAAAGTAGCAAGATTTATCGAATACACGTGTTTTTAACCAGTTCAATGAATGGTTATTTAGAGTAAAAAAGTATTTTAAGTACATAATGACGATCCCGACAAGGGGTGTGTGTGATGGGAGAGGGGGGGGGGGGTGTTGGTTTTACCAGGAAGTGAACGCGCAATTTATAGAGAAAACTATGCTACATCCAGCTGTAATAACATAACAACCGACTATAAGTAAACATCATAGTATTAAATATGAATATTTTAAAGCCTTTACTGACACCAACTGCAAAATTTCCAGAGAAAAAATGGGAGGGGTGACACCATGAGGTGTCGCGCCGAGTGATACCCGACCAAGTGACGCCACTGATGTCACCCCATCCTGATGATGTTTCCCCGCGCCTAATGATGTAGACCTATTAAACTTACTGGAAAAGACAGACTTTCTCATTTAAAAAAGCTAGAGCTACATCCTGTTTTAGTGTCAACACTTTGAATGGCGTCACCTGGGGCGGTCAGCACCCCTTCCCCCCGGTCTCCGCCGTGTGACGCTACTGATGTGATAGATTCCGACTTGACTTTTTAGAAATAAAAAAAAAACAGTAACGTAATAACACGAATGATATATCGCCAAGTTGAAAGTTTTCGAACTATATCTAGATGTCTCCGTAAGCACTGGGATATATAAAATAGATTAAAAGATTTCACGATAGTTTTTAAAACTTGAAAGTATTCATTTAAAATTTGTAACAATTTTAAAATGTATTGCATACCTCCAACATAAATGTGTTTTTTTTTTGTTTTTTTTTAATTTTTAAAATGCATATAAGGGACTAAAATAATAATTTTATTTTCATTACGCCTTTGTACACTACCATAACAATAAAAATACACAAGGCGATTACACGATACGATTAAAAGATTATTTTCTTTTATTAAGGCAAGAAATGTGATGGTTTTCAAATGTTAGACGATTTTCATCATAAATGAGAAGGTTCGCCATTTCAATCTTTTTGTAAACATATATAAGCTGTACCTAATTAACATTATGAAATAACTCAATGTCTTTACAAATATTTTAGGATTTTTGGATACAAACTTGCCATTAGTATTGTTTTAGGTGCGTACATCTTTACACTTGTGATTGTCTGTTCTATCTGCCCTCCTCGGTGTGGTAGAAAAGCCACAAATGGAAACACACGAACTAATGGCACTGGGCAGACTGGGCAGACAGGGCAGAATAACCAAGGAACTAATGGCACTGGGCAGAGAAACCAACGAACTAATGGCACTGGGCAGACTGGGCAGACCGAGCAGAATAACCAAGGAACTAATGGCACTGGGCAGAGAAACCAAGGAACTAATGGCACTAGGCAGACTGGGCAGAGAAACCAACGAACTAATGGCACTGGGCAGAGAAACCAACGAACTAATGGCACTGGGCAGACTGGGCAGACTGGGCAGACTGGGCAGACAGAGCAGAATAACCAAGGAACTAATGGCACTGGGCAGAGAAACCAACGAACTAATGGCACTGGGCAGACTGGGCAGACTGGGCAGACTGGGCAGACAGAGCAGAATAACCAAGGAACTAATGGCACTGGGCAGAGAAACCAACGAACTAATGGCACTGGGCAGACTGGGCAGACTCATGTCATAGTGTTGAATAATCAAAGTACCGCGGTAACAGGGCAGATTACTCCAAGTACATGGCACACGGAACTGACCAGCCAAAGTAACCATGTCACAGGGCAGAGTAACCAAGTTGAACATGACAAAGTAAACAGCTCACAAGCAATGGGCACGGTGAACAGCATCCCGTGTACACATGATAATGTACAGAGTACACAGCTGATAGATGGCATTGTAAACAGGACACTACCTGTAGATGACACTTTAAACAGGATACAGCCTATAGATGACACTGTAAACAGGATACAGCCGATAGATGACACTGTAAACAGGACACTGCCTATAGATGACACGTCTTGTACTGTTTATCATACAGTCGCCGCTTCTAGCAGTAAGTATTTATTTATTTCGGTATTAATTTGAATTTCTACTTTTTAAAATAAATTTTTAAATAAATTTGTATGCCCATTATTATCGCTTTTTATGTTTATTTATAAACAAAGTTTCCTATCACTATTGAGGTCCTTTCCAAATGATGTAATTTTAGGAATGCGTAGCTCCAAGTCAAATTAATTTTTTTTCCCACAAAGTTAGTCTCCAACTTACTCGTTTCAGGTGATAAATCCAGACTTGATGCAACATGTGTTGCTGTCGTCAGTGAAGGTGGTGCTGGCGTATTTTTTACTCACACCAGTAAACTGTATCCCACACTTGATACAACCCAAAGAGAAACCCCACCCACTCCAAGCCAACCCGACCCCACGTTCGCTTCAACCCAAATAGAAACCCCACCCACTCCAAGCCAACCCAACCCCATGTTCGCTACAATCCAAAAAGCAATCCCACCCACTCCAAGCCAACCCGACCCCATGTTCGCTACAACCCAAACAGTAACCCCACCCACTCCAAGCCAACCCGACCCCATGTTCGCTACAACCCAAAAAGCAAACCCACCCACCCCAAGCCAACCCGACCCCATGTTCGCTACAACCCAAACAGTAACCCCACCCACTCCAAGCCAACCCGACCCCATGTTCGCTACAACCCAAAAAGCAAACCCACCCACCCCAAGCCAACCCGACCCCACGTTCGCTACAACCCAAACAGTAACCCCACCCACTCCAAGCCAACCCGACCCCATGTTCGCTACAACCCAAAAAGCAACCCCACCCACTCCAAGCCAACCCGACCCCATGTTCGCTACAACCCAAACAGTAACCTCACCCACTCCTAGCCAACCCAACCCCATGTTCGCTACAACCCAAAAAGCAAACCCACCCACCCCAAGCCAACCCGACCCCAAGTTCGCTACCCCACATGCACCAACAGCCACTAATAGCCCATTTAAGTACTCGCCAGAATGTACCGCACATCCCACCTATAACATCCCCCACCTCAAGACCTACCCCACAATGCAGGAAGCTCCCCCTGAAGGACTCGCACACCTTGAGACCGACCCCACAAGACCACAACCCACCCACGGGTACCTCACCCCACAACCCACCCACGGGTACCTCACCCCAACATACACGCTTCACATCGACCATCACGAGATGACCTCTGAATGCTAGAAAAAGATGAAGTCTGACCACAGATAGAGCGATACCATAGGGCTGTCTACATCTAGCCATGCTCCACTGAATCACTACTAGTGAAACCACGATATGTACGATTTCATGTTAGATTGTCACAAGTCAGCTTATAAAATGTACTAGTGGGTCAAATACTGAAAAGCCAATTATAATGACTAAACTATGTAAACCAACAAATGTACTTTTTCCCCCAACTGTGTATACTTTAAACTACGTTCTTAAATAATTTCATTACATATACTAAGAATTGTATTTAATTATTCATTACTAATAATGATTATTTTCATGAAAAATTAATCTAAATTATAGAAATATAAGTATATGAGCAACGACGAAAGTGTGTTGACGCTTGTTAAAAGTTAATTACGAAGTGTCAAATGTAGGGTATGAGTGGATATAATAAATTATATTAGAGAAGGCGGGGTCGGGTGGTAGAGATCACGATCCCAAACCCGAGAATCTCGAGTTCCTTAACTCAAGTCTGTAGAAACTCGCTGAGTCCACTCAGCTCTGATGGGTACCTGACTCATGTTAAGTAAACAAAGGCGGCTGGACATAGTGCTGACCACGCTATCCCCCTGTATGCCGAAGTCATCGAAACTGATGAACTCTACTTTACATGCCCCATGTGTCTTGGGCACGAACGGGAAAAGAAGGATGATGAATACGTTATTTTTTAAAGCGAGTCCTACGTACTTCAGCAGTCAGTTTACATTAGTACAGCAAGATGAGTGAAACACAGCATAAAAACTTTGGTCAATGTAGAGGATCATTTTTAGAACTTGTAGATTGTGGTAGAATTGGCTGGCGTGTGTGTGTGTGCACGTGTGTGTGTGCATGTGTATGTGTGAGTATGTGCGCATGCGTGCTCCATGTATAAACTACATACATGTGATGTAGTTCAAACAACATATATGTTGTCAAAAAGTAATTCTGTACTATTTCAAATGTATTTTTTTAAACATCGTCGCGAGCAGGATTCGAACCTGCGCAGGAATGTCCCATTGGAATTCCGTTCCAACGCCTTAACCACTCGGCCATCGCGACTTGTATGTAAATAAAAAAGGGAGTTTAAAAATCTAACGTATAAAAAAAGAGTTTCGTTTCCGTTTTTTTTTTATTTACAAAATAATGTTCTTGAAAAATAGTATTAAATGAGTTCATAAAATTACTTTTAAAAACTAAGTGTGGGTTCACATTTTTGAACACCCTTCTCTTGTCACAACTGTCCTATCACCCAATGGCCAACCCCCTATCTTCTTGAATTTTTATGTGTTTTATGTCAGACCCCAGAATAACAGCAGACGATTCTATTTTTGCAATTTTTTATTTGTCCTACCTTGACCTACCTGCTGGAATGGTACCTTGTAACCAGCTGTTCATCAGCCTAGCTGTAACGGTACTCAAGTTATCGTGTTTAAAGACACAGACACACACACACACATACACACACAGACATACGGACAAGATTGCAAAACTATGTTTTTCCGACTCAGTGAGATCTAAAACGTCGAGATTTCATTTATAGGAATTATATCAAAATCGTAGATCCGTATCAACTTTTGAGTGATTTCCAATAACCGGAAGTGGCAATTTTTCTACTTTGAATTTTTCAAAAGCCTGTAATTTGGGTACAATTTCAGATAGATAGATGAAATTTCACAAGTAAGTAAAATATCTAATTCTCTGCTTTCTGTCAAATTTTGAGTAATTTATTAATCGGAAGTAGTAATTTACGCTATTTCCGATTTCTCAAAAAACGCATGTGCATTTATAGAGTACTAATAATATTCCGCACTATTATGCACATTTTGTTTGGCGTTCACTTGGTATGCAATTCTTTTTTCTACGAGATTTTATTTTATTTTAAACAGTTTAAGTATTTAAAATGGATAAAAAAAACCATGTCTATATCAAGAGTTGCCATCCCATGTTGTTTTAAATAAGAATATTCGATAAAGTTTAGGGGAGATCACTCCCGTTGTTTTTTTTTTTTTTAAATTGTTGTCTAGGTAGAAGTGTTTTTTTTAATCTTGAAGATAGGGCTAGAAACAAATAGTTGCCATGGTATTTAATTATCAATTAGAATCGTGTTCAAACAATTAATTTAGTTTGAAACTTTATAGATCACACTGGCAAACGAGATTTGAATTTTAAGCGAGAGAGACGGTAACTTACAAGCCCTATTAGCAGACATTAAATTGATTATATTTTTTAAATATTTTTTTTATATAAAAAGACTAATTTGTACAGTGCTATGGGTAAAATTTTTATTTTTATAAAATGTACACTTTCAAATTCTAAGGAACTTACAAATTAAAACTCAAACATCAGACCCTTTTAAATCAATTCAGTTATTAAACTAGCTAGAGTAAATAACTACTCTAGAATAACAATACAAGAATCCAACTGTAACATATCGTAACACTAACCTAACGTAATTTTAATTATGAAAATTTTCTGAATTTAACGATGAAATAAATACAAATTAGTAAACAATGCAGCTTTGTTGGGCGTTTAAATAAAAAGTTTTTTTTTTTCATAAAAAACGTTTTAGTAACAAGCTTTTATGTACTAATGCACTAAAAAGTAGAAAATAAATTATAAACTACTATTTAAATAACTATAAAGAAAAGCGTGGTTCACTTTAGTGTCTATTGGATACCTTTACTAATGTTTAGGAAGAGACCCACGCTTTTCTTTATAGTTATTTAAATAGTAGTCTATAATTTATTTTCTACTTTTTAGTGCATTAGTACATAAAAGCTTGTTATTAAAACGTTTTTTATGAATTTTTTTTAGTACTTTACATGTTTTTATTTACAATAGAGTTTCATGACTAAAAACCATTGCGCGCCTATTGAAACGTGATGACGCGCTATTGAACGTTATGACGCGTGTGGTGTGGTTGGATAGAAATGCCTACTAAATTGGTCAAAATTTTAATTAATTCATAAAATATTAATTAGGCATCCAATTAAGTCAAATTTAGTTTCAGATTGCATTGTTTTCATGTCTTGATCGACGTACCAACTGTGAACCGTATCTTTCAAGTAGAAGTGTCCGAATTTTCGCTCCGGCGTTTCGATCTAGAATGATGACTGACGACAGAGGAAGTGAGTGAGTTAAATAAAAGCTTGTAAAAAATAGAACCCGATTTATAAAGGCTTAAAAAACTGGTTCCAAATGGTTCCAGAATGGTTGTAGCCAGAAAGCATATTTGTCAACCAAAGTTGATTATTTTATAACATTTGTGAAATAAGTACAAAATGACTTGCGTTCTATCAAGCTTAAATATATTCAAAAATATTTAAAATATTCCGTACTTTAAATTATTAATTACAATCGAGATGCGTGACTAATAACCATTGCGCACCTAATGAACGTGATAATGCGTGTATAATAGAGAGGAATAGTTGGATGAGACTGCCTAATTTTAATTTTAATTAATTCATACAAAATTAATTAGGCATGCAATTAAGTCAAATTTAATGTCAGATTGCATTGTCTTCATGTTTTGACCCGCGTGCCAACTTTGAACCGAATCTCTCAGTTAAAAGTGCTGTTAAAACCCCGGCTATTCAATGGTCATCATGTTGTTTTTTAAAGTAATTTGACCGAGAAAATTGTATATATTTCATAGCGTAGGTCTTGATGCGTAGATTTATAAAAACTAGATCTAAATCAAATTTGAATGAAATAACCTGCTCCATTTCTTTATATTCTAAAATCGGAAGATGACGCCATTAGTGTTGTGTTCTTTCCATAGTGTAAACATGTGGTATGTGACGTCATTGTTTAATGCGTACTTGTCACAACTATAAACACTTTTCCGACTGCATAATTAAAACTTTGTTTCTACATTCGAATATGCCTTTATTTTTTATTTTTTATTCTTTAAATAAAATTTAGGTTATACATTTAAAACATCTAACATATTATTTTCAACAAAAGTCAGTATCAAGTTCTCATTATATCGCTGAAGATTCTGATTTGCTGTGAAATATGTTGCGGACAGACAGAGAGAAGTTCGGACATGGTGTTTTATATATTAAGATTTACAGCTAATTACTATTAACAATGATGAAACAAAAATATGATCACGTGACCGTCCGCTTGTGAACTTAAATATCTTTGGAGACTTCCGGTCGACACCCAAGTTATCCTGAGACGAAAGTGGAATTGGGCCTCGTGAGTTCTCAACATGGACGAGCTCAACACTTTGGTGGGTTCATTTCCTTGTTGAGGATTCATTTGTGGCACTAAAATCTCGATACCTGTCTCATGTTTGCTTTGGAGCTTGCCTTCTAGGAGTTTCTCTCAGGATCTTTAACGGCTAAATCTTCTTAGCTATTTAAAGTTTGCCCCGTGGTCTAGAATCCCCAAGCTCTGGCCAAGTTTGAGATCGGTAGATAGAAATTAGTGACTACCGTGCTCTTTCGGGTATGTCAAGGGATAACTGAAATTTTTTAAAAAACTATAAAACAATATAACCTTCGATTAGTTTGGTACATTGTCTTTTCCTAATAGATTAATCTTATAGAATAGATGAGAAGGGAATACCAATGGCGTTAAGCTGATGATTGTGTTTCTTTGTTGTCAGAAAACATATGTGTCAGCCAAAGTTGATTATTTTATAACATTAGTGAAATAAGTACAAAATGAATTGCGCTTTATTAAGCTTAGAAATATTCAAAAATATTCAAAATATTCCGTAGTTTAATTTTTTTTTTTACAATAGAGTTGCGCACCCAATAAACGTGATAATGCGTGTATAATAGAGTGGAATAGTTGGATGAGAATGCCTACGAATTAAGACACAATTTTAATTAATTCATACAAAATTAATTAGGCATACAATTAAGTCAAATTTAATGTCAGATTGCATTGTCTTCATGTCTTGACCCACGTGCCAACTTTGAACCGAATCTATTAAATAAAAGCTTGTAAAAATTGAAACCAATTTAAATAATCCCAGCATTTAACCAGAAAGTGTGCGATAACCTTGTCTGTGTTATAATGAACCAGTACTGCCATAAATAATGTTATCTGACAGGCGTTAAAGTATATTTAACCACTCTATTGCAATTAACAGCAAACATTACTAATAGTAGTGCAGGTTATTATAATTATCAGATATAGTTTCAAATTAGCATCGAGGAAGTAAAGTAAAATATTTACAGTTAATTACTATTGACAGTGAGTAAACAAAAACACGATGATCACGTGACCGTCCGCTTGTGAACTTAAATATCTTTGGAGACTTCCGGTCGACACCCAAGTTATCCTGCGACGAAAGTGGAATTGGGCCTCGTGAGTTCTCAACATGGATGAGCTCAACAGTTTGGTGGGTTCATTTCCTTGTTGAGGATTCATTTGTGGCACTAAAATCTCGATACCTGTCTCATGTTTGCTTTGGAGCTTGCCTTCTAGGAGTTTCTCTCAGGATCTTTAACGGCTAAATCTTCTTAGCTATTTAAAGTTTGCCCCGTGGTCTAGAATCCCCATGCTCTGGCCAAGTTTGAGATCGGTAGAGAGAAATTAGTGACTACCGTGCTCTTTCTGGTATGTCAAGGGATAACTGAAATTTTTTAAAAACTATAAAACAATACAACCTTCGATTAGTTTGGTACATTGTCTTTTCCTAATAGATTAATCTTATAGAATAGATGAGAAGGGAATAGAACTGGCGTTAGGCTGCTGATTGTGTTTCTTTACAATATATAGGGCCTACAATATTTAGCTTTATATAAACTTTTGTAAGCTTTCTGTTAACCGGAAATGGTTCTTACTCAGCTTTCAGAATCTGAAAACCAATAAACTATGAACGGATTATGTTTGTTGAAAGAAGTTGCACTTATTGTATGCGCATGCTTCCGTCAAATTTTAACTATTTCTGATAACCGGAAGTCGTTCTTTATTCTATTTATGTTCGAAGAATATAAATTAAACACTATTCCAGGTAATTAGACAAAATTTCGTATATAAATACACGATCTTAAAATTAAATTATTTTCAATTATTTTTCTGTCCTCCGATAACTGGAATTGGTATTTTACTCTATTCCTGGATTCTAATAATAATGATTTGTATAATACTAATTGAAACGTAGGTATAAGTTCTTATTCCCTTAATTTGATCAAATTTGAGTTATTTCCGGTGAACTTAAGTATTACTTTACCCTATTTATTTTTTATTTCTGACATTTCTTTAAAACAAGTTAATTAAAAAGTCTAGTGACAATTTTAGCGCAATTTCCTTATGTTATCTAAAAATAGCTCTGTCGTAGCGTAAATCAAGAGCAGGGTTAGTAAAACCATTGGTTAGTTATTAAAACGTTTTTTATTAAATAAACCTAACTACTAACTAAACTAAGCACCTTGAAATCAAGAGCAGGGTTATTAAAACCATTGGTTAGTTGAACTTGATTATCAACATGATAATCATTAAGATGATAGATCTCTACTTCCGGCATGTATATACAACCACACCACACGCGTCATCACGTTCAATAGATGCGTCATCGCGTTCCATGGCTGCGCCATCACGTTCAGTAGGCGCGCAAGTTAATTAAAAAAGTCTAGTGACATTTATGCGCAATTTTCTTATGTTATCTAAAAATAGCTCTGACGTATAATGATGGGGTGCGTTCAAGCTAGAAGAGCGATCGGTTTGTAGGTGTTTATGTAATTTTAAAATTTGTGACCGAACGAGAGGATATTTTTGAAAACTTTCTTCGGCAATATTGTTCTAAATTATGGCAGGAATCGATTGGTACATGTTTCAAGTCGCTAAGTGGTCTGGTTGCCGAGATATGGGCCAAAAACTGCATTTTTTCGAGGTTTTTTGGCTTTTACGGGAAATACATGAAAGAAACCCGGAATTTTTATGGCCTATGCTCATTCTCGTAACTGGCTTAACATAATTGCTTTTGGAACTAGTCATCGATATTGCTTCGTTGAGGAGGAGATACGACTTAAAGCCCGGACACACATTCATCCATTCATTCATCCATCCATCCATTCCCAGAAATGACGAGTTAATAAACGCAATTCTCCAGAATGGAAATTGCGCTAAAAAAGATCACTTCTACTAGGCCGATCACTTCAAAACTTTTCGCCTATTTCTAGATTCGATGACAATGTAATGTGACACAAAATTTAAACTTTTTAAAAATAAATTAATATTTTTTAAAAATAAAGCACTAGTTTTCCGCTTTATCGTACACACATTGCATATGTTCATTTGGAGCGAAATTCTTTTTTCATGCGCCCTCTGCATTTTTCTTTTCAGGCTTTTCATTGAAAGTGCTCTATTATAGATAGGCAAATGTGTATTGAACGTACCAAGCTAGCAGGCTTAGGCTCAAGGTGTGACTTAAATGGCTGCTATAGGGCAATGTCTAATTGTACATTTTCAGTATTCATCTACTCAGCCTTGATATCATTATTATCAGAAATTATTAACGGGTTTAAAACTTTAAAAAAAAACATTAAAAAAAAAGTAATGTTTGACTTTCATTAGACGCCTAAACGTATCACGTACCAAGAGGCGTAGCGACCCTTCCCTGCGCCTGGGGACAAACTTTCAATTTAGCGCCCCCCCCCCCTCGCCCTGAGACAAACTTTTAATTTAGCCTCCACCCCCTCCATATATTTTTTATATTTATAATGCAAAACTGCAGCTAAAATGAGCTTTTAATTATTTTTTTCAACTCATTTTGGCGCCCCTAGGGTCGGCGCCCGGGGACATATATACCCGCCCCCGTCGCTACGCCTCTGCACTTACCCCCATCTCAAACGCAATTTTTAACTCCACAAAGATGTTTTGGAATTTAACAAAACGATCAAAGACAATTGCAATAAAACAAGCTGTCTATAAGCTAAACAAACTGTCAATAAGCTAGACAAACATTTTAACTTTTAAACTTTTCAGATGTGTTTGGATGGGTGATGGGGTCAGATTGGATGGGTGATGGGGTCAGATGTGTTTGGATGGGTGATGGGGTCAGATGTGTTTGGATGGGTGATGGGGTCAGATGTGTTTGGATGGGTGATGGGGTCAGATGTGTTTGGATGGGTGATGGGGTCAGATGTGTTTGGATAGGTGATGGGATCAGATGTGTTTGGATGGGTGATGAGGTCAGATGTGTTTGGATGGGTGATGAGGTCAGATTGGATGGGTGATGGGGTCAGATGTGTTTGGATGGGTGATGAGGTCAGATGTGTTTGGATGGGTGATGGGGTCAGATTGGATGGGTGATGGGGTCAGATGTGTTTGGATGGGTGATGAGGTCAGATGTGTTTGGATGGGTGATGAGGTCAGATGTGTTTGGATGGGTGATGGTGTCAGATGGGGTATTTCGCACATGTTACAATGGATAATTACAACAAAGATAAATATACAAGTAGAAATCATGCATCAATCTAAGGCAGAAAATTGTTGTTAGGAGATGGACTTTTATTTACAAAATATTTTCAATAAATCAAAAATTTGATTATCATGAACCTATATGTTTGTATCTGCTAGCATAAATAAATAAAAAAATAAATAAAAAAATAAATATATATATATAAATATATATATATATATATATATATATATATATATATATATATATATATATATGTGTGTGTGTGTGTGTGTGTGTGTTAAATGAATAAATAATATACATTAAGTTTACCATAATAACCATTCGATGTTAAAGTAAAATTAATTAACATTAAAAAAACATGACGAAGGTGCTTGATGTTAGGAATAGGTCAACTAAAAGGTATTCGCCTCATTTAGTTTGGTGACGCATCTTCGATGATAACATAATTCAATCGATGACAATATCAGACACCAATAAAAAATTCAATCGATGTCACAAATCAGATTGGTGATACATATTAGATATTATAAAACTTCACTTGCTTTACCCAAATCAGACTTATAATTATAATAAAAATAATTAGACTTATAACCAATTAGATTAATGAGATATATTAGATGGAACCACATTTTTTTTAGTTGGTTTAACTAATACGACAAATGAGGAATGTATGATGGCACCATTTTTTTTTAATTTGTTCAACAAATTAGACTTTAACTAATTTGGCTGATAACGTATGTATGATGTTACCAAAAAGCACGTTCTTTAATTAACCAATCAGATTGATGAGGTGCAGGAGGACCACAGCGAGGAGAGGTAATCCATTCCCATTGAGCAGACTGCAGCGACCGTCCAGCTTATCGGGTCGGCTATCTTCTGCAAGTTAGGATTAGGGATTAGGATTAGGCCTTCTTGTGGATAATAACTAATTACGTTTTGATCAGAGCTACTCTCAGTGTTTTTATTTAGGCTTTTTTCTTCGGGGGGGGGGGGGGGGCACTTGATATTTTCGGGGGGGGGGGGGGTAAATTTTCCGGGTGGGGAGGACACATGAAAAAGTATATATTTCTATACAAATTCCGTATTATTCGGGAGGCTGGGTGGGGGGGGGGTAAACTTTTTTCAGGGGGGGGGAGAAATGTCTGTAAGAAATTCTGGTTACTTGTGGTTATTAAAGGTAAGATCTAATTAAGTTTAGATTAGGGATACTTATGCTTGTGACGGAGAAAAATATTTAATTAAGTTAGGATTTTGGGATACTTGCGGTTATTAAAATTAAGAAATAATTACGTTTAGATAAGGGTGACAGAGAAAAAAATTGACTAAGTAAGGATTAGGCTTGTGGTTATTAAAATTAAGAAATAATTACATTTAGATTAGGGTGACAGAGAAAAAAATTGACTAAGTAAGGATTAGGCAGGATTAGGCAGGATTAGGCTTACTTGTAGCTTTGATGACCATCCATTCCGTGACGCTTGGCACGCAGGTGTTCCTGCAGTACTTCTCAAGGTCAGTTGTCCAGCACTGGCACTTCTGCATGTCTTCTGGGAACTGGTCAAGTGGCTGGACCTGTAGGGTTTAGTGGGGTTCAGACACGTCTAGGGTTTAGTGGGGTTCAGACACGTCTAGGGTTTAGTGGGGTTCAGACACGTCTAGGGTTTAGTGGGGTTGGAATCCTACGGGGTTAATGGGGTTCGGGAATTCAATGGGAATGTCTCAGTTAAATGCGATTGTCTCAGTTCAATGGGCATTGTCTCAGTTAAATGGGGATTGTCTCAGTTAAATGGGGATTGTCTCAGTTAAATGAGGATTGTCTCAGTTAAATGAGGATTGTCTCAGTTAAATGGGGATTGTCTCAGTTAAATGGGGATTGTCTCAGTTAAATGAGGATTGTCTCAGTTAAATGGGGATTGTCGCAGTTAAATGGGGATTGTTTCAGTTAAATGGGGATTGTCGCAGTTAAATGGGGATTGTTTCAGTTAAATGGGGATTGTTTCAGTTAAATGGGGATTGTCTCAGTTAAATGGGGATTGTCGCAGTTAAATGGGGATTGTCTCAGTTAAATGGGGATTGTCGCAGTTAAATGGGGATTGTCTCAGTTAAATAAGGATTGTCACAGTTAAATGGGGATTGTCTCAGTTAAATGGGGATTGTCGCAGTTAAATGGGGATTGTCGCAGTTAAATGGGGATTGTCTCAGTTAAATGGGGATTGTTTCAGTTAAATGGGGATTGTCGCAGTTAAATGGGGAATGTCTCTGTTAAATGGGGAATATTTTGGTCTAATGGGGAAAGTCTCTTGTAAATGGGCAACGTCTTAAAATATTTAGGATAAAGAAACCACCTGACTTATAAATCCCAAATAAAATAATACAATTTTAAACACATGTACGTGTTTCATGAAAGGAGAACAAAAAACAAGCATTCTATGAATTACTGGCTTTTTCTGAGCGAAATATCTCGTTTTATTATTTTAATTAGATAATTTTCCCTGGCAATTCAATACAGTGTCGTTTTTCGCACTATTGACGGTAAGATTTTTTTAAAACAAGTAAATACTTGCCTTGACCATGTACTTGTCCGACTGCAACTGGTCAAAAAACACAAATCCATCCGGTTCAGTTTCACTCCAGACCTAATCCAGAGATTAGTTTAATTACACACTAATCCAGGGATTAGTTCAATTACACACTAATCCAGGGATTAGTTTAATTACACACTAATCCAGGGATTCGTTCGATTACACACTAATCCAGAGCTTAGTTCGATTATACACTAATCCAGAGATTAGTTTAATTACACACTAATCCAGAGCTTAGTTTAATTACACACTTATCCAGGGATTAGTTCAATTACACACTAATCCAGGGATTAGTTCGATTACACACTAATCCAGGGAATAGTTCAATTACACACTAATCCAGAGATTAGTTTAATTACACACTAATCCAGGGATTAGTTCAATTACACACTAATCCAGAGCTTAGTTTAATTACACACTAATCCAGGGATTAGTTTAATTACACACTAATCCAGAGCTTAGTTTAATTACACACTAATCCAGGGATTAGTTCAATTACACACTAATCCAGAGCTTAGTTTAATTACACACTAATCCAGGGATTAGTTCGATTACACACTAATCCAGAGAATAGTTCAATTACACACTAATCCAGAGATTAGTTTAATTACACACTAATCCAGGGATTAGTTCGATTACACACTAATCCAGAGCTTAGTTTAATTACACACTAATCCAGGGATTAGTTTAATTACACACTAATCCAGGGATTAGTTCAATTACACACTAATCCAGGGATTAGTTCAATTACACACTAATCCAGAGAATAGTTTAATTACACACTAATCCAGAGATTTTTGTTCAATTACACACTAATCCAGAGATTAGTTCAATTACACACTAATCCAGAGATTAGTTCAATTACACACTAATCCAGAGAATAGTTCAGTTACACACTAACCTTTAACTTATTCTATGTGTGCGCATGTCAATGTGAGTGTATATATATATATATATATATATATATATATATATATATATATATATATATATATGGGGTAGTCTATGTTTGTGTACTTGAATAAGTATTTTAAAAATACGTATAGTTGTGTCGTTTCTATTACCATAAACAAAGACGTCTGTCGGTTATTATAATACAGCTGTAAGGTTTAGAAAGATTAAACACATCTTGACTTACCTTGCCTTTGTATTCAATTTCATTTAGTGCGGACAGACCATAGTCCCAGGTCTTTCGAAACAATGAGATTTTGAAGCGCGTTATGGCGAACTTAACAGGAGAGAGCGAGAATTTGACAGCGATGGTGCCATTTCTGTGGTCTACAACTGCAATGGTGGGGGACCAGTCCATCGAGTGGGTGGATGACATGTCTGTAAAGGGGAGAGGTAGATGGGGGTCGGCACTGGTGTTTGATAGGAAGACGTATAATAGGCAGACAATCATACACTGTTATATAACAGGCAGACAATCATACACTGTTATATAACAGGCAGGCAATCACACACTGTTATATAACAGGCAGGCAATCACACACTGTTATATAACAGGCAGGCAGTCACACACTGTTATATATCAGGCAGGCAGTCACACACTGTTACATAACAGGCAGGCAATCACACACTGTTATATATCAGGCAGGCAGTCACACACTGTTACATAACAGGTAGGCAATCACACACTGTTACATAACAGGCAGGCAATCACACACTGTTACATAACAGGCAGGCAGTCACACACTGTTATATATCAGGCAGGCAGTCACACACTGTTACATAACAGGCAGACATTCGCAAATCGTTATATAACAGGCAGACGAACACATACGCAGTATTACAAATGATGTATAATACGAAAGTTCGCGCGAGTAGACACACACTCACACTCACACTCAGTCTCGTTAGCTCGCAGACACACATGGTGCTCAGGGACACACTGGCGCGCACACGCTCAGACACACACACAGACAAGTGCTTAGAGACACAACAGGCACATATGAGACACGTAAACACTCACGCACAGCGGTAGACACACACACACACACATTTACTTACAAATACCGGCTAAGGCGCACACATCACCGAAGGTGAGACTTACTGAAATACGAGCCAGTACATGGCCACCACAGACTTACTGAAATACGAGCCAGTACATGGCCACCACAGACTTACTGAAATACGAGCCAGTACATGGCCACCACAGACTTACTGAAATACGAGCCAGTACATGGCCACCACAGACTTACTGAAATACGAGCCAGTACATGGCCACCACAGACTTACTGAAATACGAACCAGTACATGGCCACCACAGACTTACTGAAATACTAACCAGTACATGGCCACCACAGGTGAGACTTACTGAAATACGAGCCAGTACATGGCCACCACAGACTTACTGAAATACGAGCCAGTACATGGCCACCACAGACTTACTGAAATACGAGCCAGTACATGGCCACCACAGACTTACTGAAATACGAGCCAGTACATGGCCACCACAGACTTACTAAAATACGAGCCAGTACATGGCCACCACAGACTTACTGAAATACGAACCAGTACATGGCCACCACAGACTTACTGAAATACGAACCAGTACATGGCCACCACAGGTGAGACTTACTGAAATACGAGCCAGTACATGGCCACCACAGACTTACTGAAATACGAGCCAGTACACGGCCACCACAGACTTACTGAAATACGAGCCAGTACATGGCCACCACAGACTTACTGAAATACGAGCCAGTACATGGCCACCACAGACTTACTGAAATACGAGCCAGTACATGGCCACCACAGACTTACTGAAATACGAGCCATTACATGGCCACCACAGACTTACTGAAATACGAGCCAGTACATGGCCACCACAGACTTACTGAAATACGAGCCAGTACATGGCCACCACAGGTGAGACTTACTGAAATACGAGCCAGTACATGGCCACCACAGACTTACCGAAATACGAGCCAGTACATGGCCACCACAGACTTACTGAAATACGAGCCAGTACATGGCCACCACAGACTTACTGAAATACGACCCATTACATGGCCAACACAGACTTACTGAAATGCGAGCCAGTCCTCACGTACATAGCTACCAGCTTGTGGTAGTTGTTCCGGTCTACGGGCTTGGCTGGCGGCAGGCTGTGGACTGTGACGCGGTACATGTTGCCTGGCTGGAGGTACTGGAACCGGTACTGGAACTCGAGCTGTGCGTCACGTCACCGTGTCAAATGAAAAAGGTCAAAGGTGAAGTGATTACGTCAAGTAATTACGTCAACTGATGACTTCAAGGTTACCGGGCCAATTTGGATGTTTAGGCGATAATTTTTTTTTTGTGTTCGTTTGAGCAAGGGTTTGGGCAATTTGTGTGTTTGTCTGTGTGTATGTGTGTATGTGTGTGTGCGTGTGTTTGCATTTGGGTAAAATTAGAGTTTGTTGTATTAATTGTTCGGGCAATTGGTTTCTATGTTTGTATGAGTTCCAGTTTGGGCTATTGGTTTTTGAGTTTGTATGAGTTTGGGTATGGGCTTTTGTGTTTTTTATTTAGTATGTGCAATTGGTTAACTTTAATTGCAAGTAGCTCAAATACGACAAATGCAGAACGGACGTTTATCCGAATGGACGTTTGCCCAAAAGGACATTTGCATGAATACGACAAATGTCCCCATTGACATTAGATCAATTGTGACGAATGCTGGAATGGACGTGTGTCCGAATGGACCTTTGCCCGAATGGACCTTTACCCGAATGCGACCGGTGCCAGTTCGACTAAATTCAACTCAAACTTGCCTTGTCCAGAATCGGTTGCTTCCCTTCGTCCAGTTTGATAGCTCGGCAGACGATACCAGGCGCTGATCCATCCTGTCGTTGTAGCTCCAGCGTAACCAGGTAAGCCACCACGGGGTATAATCTGTCTGTAACATAATGGGAGGTAACAGCCAGTACAGTGTGAGTCATCAAGGGGGATAATCTGTCTGTGACAAATGGGAGATAACAGCCAGTACAATGTGAGTCATCAAGGGGGATAATCTGTCTGTAACATATGGGAGGTAACAGCCAGTACAATGTGAGTCATAAAGGGGGATAATCTGTCTGTAACATATGGGAGGTAACAGCCAGTACAATGTGAGTCATCAAGGGGGATAATCTGTCTGTAACATATGGGAGGTAACAACCAATACAATGTGAGTCATCAAAGGGGATAATCTGTCTGTAACATATGGGAGGTAACAGCCAGTACAGTGGGTCATCAAGGGGGATAATTGTCTGTAACAAATGGGAGGTAACAGCCAGTACAGTGTGAGTCATAAAGGGGGATAATCTGTCTGTAACATATGGGAGGTAACAGCCAGTACAATGTGAGTCATAAAGGGGGATAATCTGTCTGTAACAAATGGGAGGTAACAGCCAGTACAATGTGAGTCATTAAAGGGGATAATCCGTCTGTAACGTATGGGAGGTAACAGCCAGTACAGTGGGTCATCAAGGGGGATAATTGTTTGTAACAAATGGGAGATAAGAGCCAATACAATGTGAGTATTAAAAAGGGGAATAACCTCTTACAAACAGTAGATAATAGCTCTTACAGTGTGTCACCAAGGGGAATAACCTTTTACAAATACGAGATAATTACTATTGTTCGACTCTGAGGTTGTGCTTCGCGATTCTGCACATATTATGTAACACAATATGAACCAGAGAGTATATTTTTAAAAATATGATTTGGTGTTGAACTTGGTATAAGGCGTAATAAAGAAATGCTTTTTTCCCACGTTTTCTTTAACTTGCTTTCTCTGTTTGTTTGTCTTTCCAATCAAATCTTGCGATCGAAATTTCTGGCACTTCCCAGATAGCTAGCGCGCTGAAATTTTCAGGGAAGCTTTCTTTTGGATGACCATTGAATATTCAATTGTTATTATTACTAAATTGATCAATGGAAACATTTTATTGAGCATTTTAGACCGCTATATAATCTATATATATAATTCTCCTCTGCTAGCCATTAGAAAAAAAACCAGCGACGCGTACCTCGCGCGCAGTGAAGCGAACGATCACATGTCGCCACAGGCTTAGGGGCAGGTAATTTAGCTTGAACCGAGTTTAAACTTACAGGAGGTAGGCCAGTTTGGGGGAGACGATATGGTCGAGTGGTTGGGCACACGATTGCTATCCCACTCGACACGGGTTCAAATCTATGTGTTCTAGTCAGTAACGTATTCAAACAACGTGTTTTTTACGAGTTGTCTTTTTACGAGTTGTCTTTTTACGAGTTGTCTTTTTACGAGTTGTCTTTTTACGAGTTGTCTTTTTACGAGTTGTCTTCGTTTACCCAAAAAAAAAGTGAAAAGATAAAATCGATAGCAAGATTTTAATGCAAACAAACAGACAAAGACTAAAAAGTAGAAAATAATAATCATTAAAAAAGTTTTAAAAAACCCACGTTTTCTGATTGAACTAAAAAGTAGAAAATAAATACTATACATCACAATAATGCAAGCGATCACTCTACTATAAGCGATCAAAAACGTGGGGCGCCGTGATTTTCTTACAGTTTCTAATACTGTTGACTCTCTACAAGCTCCCTAATAAAAGTCAATAGTATTATCTAATCAATAGTAATATAACTTTTACTTCGGCGCCCCACGTTTTTCATCGCTTATAGTAGAGTGATCGCTTGCATTATTGTGATGTATAGTATTTATTTTCTACTTTTTAGTTCAATCAGAAAACGTGGGTTTTTTAAAACTTTTTTAATGATTATTATTATACTCTGTCTTTGGTGTTAGATAGGTCATTACAACTATATTAAATCGAATAATAATGCAGTTTCTTATTTTATACGTTTTTTTTTTTAAAAATCCCATAGTCTTTATTTCAGTCTTTTTGTGGCCTTTCTTTTAACTCAATACATTTGACAAATACAACGTAAGAATTTATATTTAAAAAAAATCTAATTAGATATGTCATTAAAAATAAATTTCAAGATTACTAAATTCAATAACTGAAGGGGATATAACTTGATTAATTTGAAGATAACAATCAGCATGTCTGTGATGGTAAGATTCACGTCATAGATCTGACCAACTACATTTAAAAGTAACCAATGCTTTTACTAAAGAAAGCAAGATTGTTCTATTAATTTTAATTTTCAGAGCATTAAAAAAAGTATGTTATTATATATATAATTTTTAAAAATTTTGGTATGATAAATAATGTTGACATAGCTGACTTAACATTCAATTTTTATGAACACAGTAAATCTTTGCAATGGTGTAGTGAATTATTTCTTTTTCTCCCCACTGTTGTGATTCCCATCCCATTTGTATTAGAGGTACCCACTTGTGTTGTCATTTGTGAGTGAGGTGTGTTCACTCCCCGTGTTGTGAGCTGTTGTCAGTTGTGTTGTTGTGCTCTGTCGTGTTTGCTTCAGTTTCTAGTGCCGGTAACCGCTTGCATAGGGGCCTCAATCTACTGTTTATGTCTCATTGTAGTGTTTTCTATAACCAGGTTAGTCCTCGAATATTTGATTGAAGTGTGACATATTTGATTTTTTAAATAGATGCCACTGTACTCTAGTGTTAGAACCAATGGGTTAGTGAGGAACATTTTAGTATAGTTGGGCAGATGAAGTAGAGTTCATGTTTCTTGAGCTTGGCATATGAAGGGATAATGTTGGCAGCACTATGCCCAACCGCCTTTACTGTTCCTGAGTTAGGTGGACTCAGGGGTGTTCCACTGATTTGAACCCGGATACGAACTCCAGACCATCGAGTTAGTAGTCTAGCTCTCTACCGCAAGGCCACGCCGTCCCATAGTATAGTAATTGACTGTATTTTAATTTCGGTGCAAAATTTGCTAGTTCAGACCTAACTATCCACAGTGCTAAAAAGCAGTTCATGTTTTTTGACCTTAGATATAAACGGATGTTGTGGTCAGCACTATGCTCAACAGCTTTTACTTTCTCTAACGTGAGCCAGGTACCCATTAGAACTAGGTGGATTCAAGTTTACACTGTCCATTCCGTGTAATGAAAGAGATCGAGAAATTGTATGTATGTTAATAATATATGATGCGAGAGGTGGAACAGTTATAGCAGGAACACGTTAATAAAGTTGCTGCAATAATAAGAAAGAAAGGACATTGTCACCCAGTGGTGTAGGCAGAATTTGTCATGATGGGGTATTAACCCCCTCACACCACCCCCCCCCCCTGACTACGCCACTGGTGTAATCAACGCCACTATGCTCTTACACATCGTGACCGGGGATCGCCAGATGATCTCCGCCCCGGGGTACATCAGGCCCTTGTGGGTGGTCATCTCGTTCCACTGGGTGTTGATGTCGATGTGGGACGGCTTGTCCACCTGATAGCGAGTCCGTGGGATGCCTCGAGGCACGTCACGTTCTTCAAAGCTCTGGACGAATGGCTTGCAGGCTAGTAGGAAATGTATGGCACTAAATAAGGGCTGGCTAGTAGAAATGTATGCCACTAAATAAGGGCTTGTAGGATTGTAGGAAATGTATGGCACTAAATAAGGGCTGGCTAGTAGGAAATGTATGGCACTAAATAAGGGCTTGCAGGCTAGTAGAAAATGTATGGCACTAAATAAGGGCTTGCAGGCTAGTAGGAAATGTATGGCACTAAATAAGGGCAGGCTAGTAGGAAATGTATGGCACTAAATAATGGCTTGCAGGCTAGGTGGGCAGAAAATATATGGCACTAAATAAGGGCTTGTAGGATTGTAGGAAATGTATGGCACTAAATAAGGGCTTGCAGGCTAGTAGGAAATGTATGCCACTAAATAAGGGCTTGCAGGCTAGTAGGAAATGTATGGCCCTAAATAAGGGCTGGCTAGTAGGAAATGTATGGCACTAAATAATAGCTTGCAGGCTAGGTGGGCAGAAAATATATGGCACTAAATAAGGGCAGGCTAGTAGGAAATGTATGGCACTAAATAAGGGCAGGCTAGTAGGAAATGTATGGAACTAAATAAGGGCTTGCAGGCTAGTAGGAAATGTATGGCATTAAATAAGGGCTTGCAGGCTAGTAGGAAATGTATGGCACTAAATAAGGGCTTGCTGGCTAGTAGGAAATGTATGGCACTAAATAAGGACAGGCTAGTAGGAAATGTATGGCACTAAATAAGGGCAGGCTAGTAGGAAATGTATGGCACTAAATAAGGGCTGGCTAGTAGGAAATGTATGGCACTAAATAAGGACAGGCTAGTAGGAAATGTATGGCACTAAATAAGGACAGGCTAGTAGGAAATGTATGGCATTAAATAAGGGCTTGTAGGCTAGTAGGAAATGTATGGCACTAAATAAGGGCTTGCAGACTAGGTGGGCAGAAAATATATGGCACTAAATAAGGGCAGGCTAGTAGGAAATGTATGGCACTAAATAATGGCTTGCAGGCTAGGTGGGCAGAAAATATATGGCACTAAATAAGGGCAGGCTAGTAGGAAATGTATGGCACTAAATAAGGGCTTGCAGGCTAGTAGGAAATGTATGGCACTAAATAAGGACATGCTAGTAGGAAATGTATGGCACTAAATAAGGGCTTGTAGGATTGTAGGAAATGTATGGCACTAAATAAGGGCTGGCTAGTAGGAAATGTATGCCACTAAATAAGGGCTTGTAGGATTGTAGGAAATGTATGGCACTAAATAAGGGCTGGCTAGTAGGAAATGTATTGCACTAAATAAGGGCAGGCTAGTAGGAAATGTATGGCACTAAATAAGGGCAGGCTAGTAGGAAATGTATGGCACTAAATAAGGACATGCTAGTAGGAAATGTATGGCACTAAATAAGGGCTTGCAGGCTAGTAGGAAATATAATGTATAGCAGTAGTCATAGCTAATACGATCACTTGTAGTACACGGCAATTAAACAATTTACTGAATGGCTGGCTTAGCTCGAGATACATATGTACATCACAGGGGTGGTGTTTCTTTCACGCATCCTTTGGGAAGGGAGGGTGGGGGGCTACTATACTTTTGTTTCCCCCCCCCTCCCCGGAAATTTTAGCCCCATCCCTTGGGAGAAAAGTCTGGAAGAAACACTGACACTATCCTGGCGTAGTGCGTCCATGAAAAGTTATTAGCTGGATTTGGATTTTTAAAGATACTTATCTAACAGATATTAAAATCCTAAGCCAACAATGTCACTGCAACATTTTATATATATATATATATATATATATATATATATATATATATATATATATATATATATATATAAAGTATATCCTTACCTGAAGTTTTGTGCTCATTCTCGCACAGGTGCATGACAGTTTTCTGAAATATGAAGATTAAAATTATGTTGGCGTTTAACTTAAAGGTGAAGTAAAAGTAAAGATTCCTCTTTAGACCTAGCGATCCATTGGGCAGATTTAGTAGAGCTCATATGTTTCGTTTCTTGACCTTGGCATATGAAAGGATATGGTCAGTACTATGCCCAGTCAGCTTTACTTTCTGTAGCTTGAGTTAGGTACCCATCAGAGCTGGGTGAACTCAGGGACATTCTACTGACTTGAACCCTGATTCTTTTGGGATAGTAGTCTAGCGCTCAACTGCTAGGCCACGCCGTCTCTTTAAATATACTCAAGGCTTATACTATACATATCAGTCGAGGATAGGGATAAATATTTTAACAGTCGAGGATAGGGATGGATGTTTTAACAGTTGAGGATAGGGATGGATGTTTTAACAGTCGAGGATAGGGATGGATGTTTTAACAGTCGAGGATAGGGATGGATATTTTAACAGTTGAGGATAGGGATGGATGTTTTAATATACACACCACACAAGCACTGCTAGCACTGGACACAGCTATTACACTCACAGAGAGAACACACTTAAGATAATTTAAACACACACAATCAACACTTTCATCACACACACGCCTCACGCACACTCTTCACACACACACCTTACAACTCACACAATCTTCACACACACACCTTTCTCACACACACCTCACCCATACGTCACATACATACCTCACACAAAACACCTTATAATACACACTAGCATACACATCATAGACACACCCCTCTTACACACCCTTCACAAACACCTAACACCACCGTGCAGTACTCACCCTAGAAAAAAGTTCCAGAAAAACAAGGTTTGGGCTGCACGGTTCTCCTTTCAGTTCCGCCGGTTTCCCATCACAGCACGCGATAAGGACCAGCACTAGCAGGCACCACCCTCTCATGATGTGCCCAGACTTCCGACTCTTGAAATCTATGGACAACAAACGGTACGGTACCCAGCAAGATAGACTCACGGCTCTTGAGATCTATGGACAACAAACGGTACGGTACCCAGCAAGATAGACTTAGGCTCTTGAGATCTATGGACAACAAACGGTACTGTACCCAGCAAGATAGACTTCCGGTTCTTGAGATCTATGGACAACAAACGGTACTGTACCCAGCAAGATAGACTTCCGGTTCTTGCGATCTATGGACAACAAACGGTACGGTACCCAGCAAGATAGACTTCCAGCTCTTGAGATCTATTGACAACAAACGGTACGGTACCCAGCAAGATAGACTCACGGCTCTTGAGATCTATGGACAACAAACGGTACGGTACCCAGCAAGATAGACTCACGGCTCTTGAAATCTATGGACAACAAACGGTACTTAACGCTACAACTGAACGAAATGGCTCTAATGACAGACTATTTTTATGACGCACTGTGGGGGGTCTCGACGCATGCAAATGTTTCTTATGCCTTGTTATTATAACTTTGACATTTCTTATTAATGTGAAGTTCTAGCTCAGTTAATATTTTTAATATAGAAAGAATTGGCTGTTTTTAAAAGACGAAAACATGTTAGCTAATGTGTGACTTCCTTTTAGATGTACATAGTAAAGCTGTATTTCAGACCTGGCGGGACACGGGGCAGGTGAAGCAGAATTTACCTGTATCTGTGACCTCGGCATTTAAAGGGATAGTAATGATCATCGCCATGCTCGGTCGAAATCGGTGGGGGGTTTTTTAAAGAAAAAAAAACTTGTTGGCTGAGGTGTGACGTCTTTTTAGATGTGGGGGGGGTGGAGGGTGTCAGGCTTTTTGTGAGTTCTGATGATGTATGACAGTGGGGTGGGGCATGGGGAAGATACAATTCGTCAAACGAGCGTGAAGTCTTTTAGGAATGAGCCCTACAGTTACTAGACGTCTAGATCTATAAGACCTAGCAGAATCTAGATCTAGAATCTAGAATGATCTTTGTGAGTACGGCATTAAAATAGAACCTTAATGGGTTTTTTAAAAAAAACATTTTGAAATGCAGATCAAGTAAAAATACAACTGTTAGTTTTGACCAGGTATTATCATATCTAGACTCTATACCTTAATGTATATCACTGACTTCTGGTGTAACTTCTAGCATACACCATGCAGTTGCCATGAATGTTTTGAATATTGAAACGAATACGCAATATTGTATCAGTTCCGCGTTCATCTATAGGAAATTATCGTGCGCTGCGCACAGGACAACTTTAAAGACACTTTTGTTTGAGGTGTGTCCGGTTGTAACTGTTCTTCTAACGGCCGAAATCTTATGGTTTTTATGTTAAATAGATATTGGCAATAGAATGTAGAAATTTAAGAATAAACTTTGATATGGTTATTGTCAATACTAAGAATTCAGAGAGTTAAGTTTACGTAAAAATATGGCTATTTGATATAGATCTACTAGCAATGCAAAGACTAAGGCACTCATTAAATATGGCCCATTCGTACAATTATCCTGCTTCACGGCTAAATACCCTTATCTTTAGCGAGACTTGCTCTATCTAGGTAACCTAATAGACTACTGGTTACAACTATGAGAAATACGGTATTAAAAAAACAATACAAACATTCACAGAGGCATAGCCAGGAGTTTGTTGTGGTGAGCAGGCGTTCAATATATATATATATATATATATATATATATATATATATATATATATATATATATATATATATATATATATATATATATAGCCTATATATTTATTTATTTTTACTTTTTTTAATTTAAATATACATATATACTATTACCTAGCTTCGTTAAACATGCAAACTTTCTTCAATATTTCCGATTCAAACATCACTTTTTGTGTCACTTCGTCTTTTTGTCATAACCAGTAGCCTGGTTATAGCCTTTCTAATCAGAGTTATAGAATGGTTATAGCCTTTCTAATCAGAGATGTTATATAATGGTTATCAACTTTCTAACCTGAAATGTTATAGAATGGTTATAGCCTTTTTAACCCTAGCTGGGTTGTCAAATATTTTACCAGCTGGGTTGTCACCTTACCTAGTCAGTAGCTGGGTTGTCACCTTACCTAGTCAGTAGCTGGGTTGTCAAATATTTTACCAGCTGGGTTGTCAAATATTTTACCAGCTGGGTTGTCAAATATTTTACCAGCTTTGTTGTCACCTTACCTAGTCAGTAGTTGGGTTGTCAAATATTTTACCAGCTGGGTTGTCATCTCTATCCATAACCCTAACACGACAATCTTTCACACAAAATACAACACTTCACGCAGTGTACATGTTCTTTAGCTTTATTTATTCATACATTTCTTTTAATATTTATTTTAAAATATATTTGTAATATGGGTTAGCAAATAGTATTGCCATGTTAAATTTTGAATTTTATTAACTAAAAAAAATTCCAATGATTGAGTGATCCAAAATAACAAATCTATTGTTCTAAATTAAATCATGAATTAAATATTCAAAGAGGCGATGAAACATTGTTTTAAATAGCAATAGCTAAAAAACCGCCAAGGCGTGGTCTATAAATAACCTGCCACACCCAAACCCTAAGGCAGGGGTCACTATTTGTGACGATGTGTTATATGTGTGCGTGGGAGGCGGTCAGGGAGGTTAAGAACTGATGTAGATTTTAAAATTAAAGTTTTGTTTTGTTTAGGGTAGGCCACTGTTTTTTTTTACTTCAGGGGAGGCCACTTTGATGATATTTTAAGAAGACCAGGAGTCTTGTGATGACGTCTGACAACTCGGGGGTGGGGGGAGAAGTGGGGGGTGAAAACGGCTAATGTGGTTCTAGAGTCACTTTAAGGCAACTCAGCTTAAAAAACACACATGATGGAACGTGGAATGAGGCCTTAGAAGGGTGCCAGAAACAAGGCTAATGTTAGCAGGGCTGCTGTAGGTATCAGCTGGCCGAGGGATAGTCCGGTGCGGGTAGCCTTGGAGGTTGAGTGAAAACCGTACCCTACAACAGAGGGGGAAAGAAAATAAATGTTAAAAACATTTAATAAGCAGCAATGCGCAAATAGTTAACGGGCTCTATTAGTACATTGCTGATTGCTCGGGTTTTAATACAATAGCCAAATAAAGTTAGGAAAGTCTCATAAAACACAGCTACTTAACCACACATTCACTTAGCCGCACATTCACATAACTACACCAGCTTTTAACTACACCAGCACTTATCCACACCATCACTTAACTAAACCATCACTTTACACCATCACTAAACTACACCATCACTAAACTACACCATCACTTAACTACACCAGCACTTAGCTACACCATCACTTAACTACACCATCACTTAACTACACCATCACTTAACTACACCACCACTTATCCACACCATCACTTAACTACACCACCACTTATCCACGCCATCACTTAACTAAACCATCACTTAACTACACCATCACTTAACTACTGCATCACTTAACTACGCCATCACTTAACTACACCATCACTTAACTACACCATCGCTTAACTACACCATCACTTAACTACACCATCACTTAACTACTGCATCACTTAACTACACCATCACTTAACTACACCATCACTTAACTACACCAGCACTTAACTACACCAGCACTTAACTACACCACCACTTATCCACACCATCACTTAACTACACCACCACTTATCCACACCATCACTTAACTACACCATCACTTATCCACGCCATCACTTAACTACACCATCACTTAACTACACCATCACTTAACTACTGCATCACTTAACTACGCCATCACTTAACTACACCATCACTTAACTACACCATCGCTTAACTACACCATCACTTAACTACACCATCAATTAACTACTGCATCACTTAACTACACCATCACTTAACTACACCATCACTTAACTACACCATCACTTAACTACACCATCACTTAACTACACCATTACTTAACTACACCATCACATAACTAAACCATCTTAACTACACCATCACTTAACTACACCATCACTTAACTACACCATCACTTAACTACACCATCACTTAACTACACCATCACTTAACTACACCATTATTTAACTACACCATCACTTAACTACACCACTTTAAAAAGTCTACCACCCCACCCCCTTCCCCGCACGAAATAGTATATATGTGGAAAATAAATATTACTACCAGTGTCTGCCCACTCCCCCTCCCTCCGGAATTTCAGTCCGCCCCCCTCCACCCCCTGAAAATTTCAAACCCCCCCCCCCCCCCCAACGGAGAAATAAGTCTGGGAGAAATAATGTACCTATACCTCAATCGCACTACCCATAACTCAACCACGCTAATCAATACCTAAACCACACTATCCTATACCTCAACCACACTACCCCATACCTCAACCACACTATCCTATACCTCAACCACACTACCCCATACCTCAACCACACTACCCCATAGCCTCAACCACACTAACTCATACCCCATAATCTCAACCACACTGCCCCATACCTCAACCACACTACCCCATACCTCAACCACACTACCTCATACCTCATACCCCATACCTCAACCACACTAGCCCATACCTTAACCACACTACCCCATACCTCAACCACACTACCCCATACCTCAACCACACTACCCCATACCTCAACCACACTACCTCATACCCCATACCTCAACCACACTAGCCCATACCTTAACCACACTACCCCATACCTCAACCACACTACCCCATACCTCAACCACACTACCCTATACCTCAACCACACTACCCCATACTTCAACCACACTACCTCATACCCCATAACCTTAACCACACTACCCCATACCTCAACCACACTACCCCATACCTCAACCACACTACCCCATAACCTCAACCACACTACCCCATAACCTCAACCACACAACCCCCTGAGCTCAACCACACAACCCCATACAGAGCTAAGTAAAACTACTATGACGTACAACGTGGTCCAACATAGAAATGACAGCTGTGCTGAATGCCACAGGTGTTTGTGCAGTATCGCATGTTTTCATCTGTTTTCCAGCATTGGCACTGGTCAGTTTTCATCCTATATGGGTCTATCACATACAACTGGTCAAAGAAAACAACAAGGCAAATTACCTCTGCGCATACAACTAACCATAGAAATTACTTTTTTTTTCAGGGAAATCTGGTCGTAAAAAATATAATGTCCATATTTTATTTTGACAGTTTTAACTTAAAAAAGAAAAAAACATTTTTATACTAGCGTGTTCACAGAGAAACAATTTATTTAGTCAGTCTACTTATGGCATTAGCTTTAGTCAGTCAACTAGGGATAAATTGTCTGGATACATTAGCTTTAGTAAGTCTACTTGGGGGCATTCTGTCTAGGTACATTTCTGAAGTTGAAACATTTCCGTAAAGGAATATTTTGCACTGATTACAAATGAACAAAAAAAAAAGCTCGACATGTCTGAACAGCAGCATATTGTATTATTTGATTTTTTTACATTTAAGCCTTAACTTGGCCTTAAAGCAAGCACTGACTATTCTGGTCTTTTTACATTGATACGATGCTGAGTTACATTACCCTGTCTTTAATGGAATAATGCATTAAATTAAGCCAGGCCAAAGCCTGACCGGAACCGCAAAACCTGTCAAAAACATACCCTTATTCGATATAACTCAGGTAGCACATTTTCAAACACGACTTTAGCATCTGGTAGTTCTGGTTTATAAACCTGTAAAATAGTGTATTGTGTCACATTTTCGTTAGTACTTTGTCAGTCTAACAGCCATATCTGAAAGTTTCAGTCAAGGGGGTGTAACTAGGTACCCAGCCTAGCGGTAACGGCGAACCACAAACAGTAGCAGAAATCTTTTCCCTCAGTGGCGTAACATAGTTGCTGGGGGCCCATGGGCATTAAGGGACTGGGGACCGTTACCACAGGGGCGTACGCTGGTTTTATGTGTGTGTGCGTGCTTGTGTATATGTATATAAATATATAAATAAATAAATATTGTTATATATATATATATTTATATATATATATATATATATATATATATATATATATATATATATATATATATATATATATATATATATATATATATATATATATAAAGTACATAAACATACATAAGTATATGCATATCTATAGAGAGAGAGATTAGTATATAGATCTATATGCACACATAAGTAAATATAAATGTTTGTGTATATACACATATGCATATATAAGCATACGCATACATGAAGACATGTTTTTAGTTATCAAAATAATATATCTTTGCGTTAATTTAATAAGTAAACATAATGCATTAACATTCACAAATGAAGCAAATATAAAAATCCTTAATTAGCTGTTAAAAACAGTGAAAATAAAAATAAAATGAATTTTTTTTCTCATTATTGCAGGCACTGGTCGCTCATTTTATTTTTTAAAAATGAGCTATCATTCCTTTTATTAAAGAAAGCATTTTTTTAACTATAATTTTTGATGCCATTAAAAGCTTATGATAAAAAGAATGTCTCTATTTATTTCATTGTTTATAAATGTTAAGCCTTGTGATGCTTATATTGTCGTCGAATACATAGTTCACCCCATGTCCCTCTTCCTTCTCCCACTCACCCCATGTCCCTCTTCCTTCTCCCACTCACCCAATGTCCCTCTTCGTTCTCCCACTCACCCCATGTCCCTCTTCCTTCTCCCACTCATCCCATGCTTCTCTTCCTATTCCCACTCACCCCATGCTCCTCTTCCTTCTCCCACTCACCCCATGCTCCTCCCACTCACCCCCACCCCATGCTCCTCTTCCTTCTCCCACTCACCACATGCTCCCCTTCCTTCTCCCACTCACCCCATGCTCCCCTTCCTTCTCCCACTCACCCCATGCTCCCCTTCCTTCTCCCACTCACCCCATGCTCCCCTTCCTTCTCCCACTCACCCCATGCTCCCCTTCCTTCTCCCACTCACCCCATGCTCCCCTTCCTTCTCCCACTCACCCCATGCTCCCCTTCCTTCTCCCACTCACCCCATGCTCCCCTTCCTTCTCCCACTCACCCCATGCTCCTCTTCCTTCTCCCACTCACCCCATGCTCCTCTTCTTTCTCCCACTCACCCCATGCTCCTCTTCCTTCTCCCACTCGCCCCATGCTCCTCCCACTCACTCCATGCTCCTCTTCCTTCTCCCACTCACCCCATGCTCCTCCCACTCACCCCACGCTCCTTTTCTTTCTCCCACTCACCCCATGTCCCTCTTCCTTCTCTCACTCACCCCATGCTCCTTTTCTTTCTCCCACTCACCCCATGTCCCTCTTCCTTCTCCCACTCACCCCATGCTCCTCTTCCTTCTCCCACTCACCCAATGTCCCTCTTCGTTCTCCCACTCACCCCATGCTCCTCTTTCTTCTCCCACTCACCCCATGCTCCTCTTCCTTCTCCCACTCACCCCATGCTCCTCTTTCTTCTCCCACTCACCCCATGCTCCTCTTCCTTCTCCCACTCACCCCATGCTCCTCCAACTCACCCCCACCCCATGCTCCTCCTCCTTCTCCCACTCACCCCATGCTCCTCTTCCTTCTCCCACTCACCCCATGCTCCTCTTTCTTCTCCCACTCACCCCATGCTCCTCTTCCTTCTCCCACTCACCCCATGCTCCTCTTTCTTCTCCCACTCACCCCATGCTCCTCTTCCTTCTCCCACTCACCCCATGCTCCTCTTCCTTCTCCCACTCACCCCATGCTCCTCTTTCTTCTCCCACTCACCCCATGCTCCTCCCACTCACCCCCACCACATGCTCCCCTTCCTTCTCCCACTCACCCCATGCTCCTCTTCCTTCTCCCACTCACCCCATGCTCCTCTTCCTTCTCCCACTCACCCCATGCTCCTCCCACACACCACATGCTCCTCTTCCTTCTCCCACTCACCCCATGCTCCTCTTCCTTCTCCCACTCACCCCATGCTCCTCTTTCTTCTCCCACTCACCCTATGCTCCTCTTTCTTCTCCCACTCACCCCATGCTCCTCTTTCTTCTCCCACTCACCCCATGCTCCTCTTCCTTCTCCCACTCACCCCATGCTCCTTCCACTCACCCCATGCTCCTCTTTCTTCTCCCACTCACCCTATGCTCCTCTTTCTTCTCCTACTCACCCCATGCTCCTCTTCCTTCTCCCACTCACCCCATGCTCCTCTTCCTTCTCCCACTCACCCCATGCTCCTCTTTCTTCTCCCACTCACCCCATGCTCCTCTTCCTTCTCCCACTCACCCCATGCTCCTCTTCCTTCTGCCACTCACCCCATGCTCCTCTTCCTTCTCCCACTCACCCCATGCTCCTCTTCCTTCTCCCACTCACCCCATGCTCCTCCCACTCACTCCATGCTCCTCTTCCTTCTGCCACTCACCCCATGCTCCTCCCACTCACTCCATGCTCCTCTTTCTTCTCCCACTCACCCCATGCTCCTCTTCCTTCTCCTGTACAGTGATGTAATCTATCGGGCTATCCGGCGACCGCTGCTCCAACACGATCTTGAACTTGGTCAGCATGTAGGAGGGCGGGGAGCGCGCGAACTTGACGATGACTGATTGGTCTTGGACGCCGACAGCTAAGGTGGGAATCCAATCAGCCGGCTCTTTGCTCTCGACTGAAAGTAAAAGTAAAGTTAACCCTTTCAGTCCAGTAGATCGCTGTTCTCGACTAAGTGAAAGTTTAAGTAAAGTTAACCCTTTGAACCCTGCAGATTACTATTCCCGACTAGGTGACTGTAAAAGTAAAGTTAACCCTTTCAGTCCGCTGGCTTACTGTAAAAGGTTCCTCCCGAAACCATGATCTTCTGTACTAAGTAAAAGTAAGTTAACCCTTTCAGCCCTGCAGATCGCTATTCCTGACTATGTGACAGTAAAGTTAACCCTTTCAGCCCTGCAGATCGCTATTCCTGACTATGTGACAGTAAAGTTAACCCTTTCAGCCCTGCAGATCGCTATTCCTGACTATGTGACAGTAAAGTTAACCCTTCCAGCCCTGCAAATCGCTATTCCTGACTAATTGACAGTAAAGTTAACCCTTCCAGCCTGCAGACCGCTATTCCTGACTAAGCGACAGTAAAGTTAACCCTTTCAGCCCCGCAGATCGCTATTCCTGACTAATTGACAGTAAAGTTAACCCTTCCAGCCGGCAGATCGCTATTCCTGACTAAGTGACAGTAAAGTTAACCCTTTCAGCCCCGCAGATCGCTATTCCTGACTAAGTGACAGTAAAGTTAACCCTTTCAGCCCCGCAGATCGCTATTCCTGACTAAGTGACAGTAAAGTTAACCCTTCCAGCCGGCAGATCGCTATTCCTGACTAAGCGACAGTAAAGTTAACCCTTTCAGCCCTGCAGATCGCTATTCCTGACTAAGTGACAGTAAAGTTAACCCTTTCAGCCCCGCAGATCGCTATTCCTGACTAAGCGACAGTAAAGTTAACCCTTTCAGCCCCGCAGATCGCTATTCCTGACTAAGTGACAGTAAAGTTAACCCTTTCAGCCCCGCAGATCGCTATTCCTGACTAAGTGACAGTAAAGTTAACCCTTCCAGCCGGCAGATCGCTATTCCTGACTAAGCGACAGTAAAGTTAACCCTTTCAGCCCCGCAGATCGCTATTCCTGACTAAGTGACAGTAAAGTTAACCCTTTCAGCCCCGCAGATCGCTATTCCTGACTAAGTGACAGTAAAGTTAACCCTTTCAGCCCCGCAGATCGCTATTCCTGACTAAGTGAGAGTAAAGTTAACCCTTTCAGCCCTGCAGATCGCTATTCCTGACTAAGTGACAGTAAAGTTAACCCTTTCAGTCCGCTTGCTTACTGTAAAAAACCCTTTCAGCCCTGCAGACCGCTTTTCCTGACTAAGCGACAGTAAAGTTAACCCTTTCAGTCCGCAGACTTAAAATAACGAGGACTTACTGTAATAGGTCCCTGCCGACACCATCATCTTTAAGAGAGACTTGGGTCTTGATCGGTCCGAAAATTTAGGCGCCGGTAGGGAATGTACAGTGACGTTGTTCATACTCCGCTCACCAATGTAGGGAAAATCCAAGCTGAAAGTCAGCTACGGACAGATGGTAGGTGGTGGCTTTGTTAGTGATGGTAGGTGTTTGTTTTGTTAGAGATGGTAGGTGTTGGTTTTGTTAGAGATGGTAGGTGTTTGTTTTGTTAGAGATGGTAGGTGTTGGTTTTGTTAGAGATGGTAGTCGTAGGTTTTGTTAGAGATGGTAGGTGTTGGTTTTGTTAGAGATGGTAGGTGTTGGTTTTGTTAGAGATGGTAGTCGTAGGTTTTGTTAGAGATGGTAGTCGTAGGTTTTGTTAGAGATGGTAGGTGTTGGTTTTGTTAGAGATGGTAGGTGTTGGTTTTGTTAGAGATGGTAGGTGTTGGTTTTGTTAGAGATGGTAGTCGTAGGTTTTGTTAGAGATGGTAGGTGTTGGTTTTGTTAGAGATGGTAGTCGTAGGTTTTGTTAGAGATGGTAGTCGTTGGTTTTGTTAGAGATGGTATGTGTTGGTTTTGTTAGAGATGGTAGGTGTTGGTATTGTTAGAGATGGTATGTGTTAGTTTTGTTAGAAATGGTAGGTGTTGGTTTTGTTAGAGATAGTAGGTGTTGGTTTTGTTAGAGATGGTAGGTGTTGGTTTTGTTAGAGATGGTAGGTGGTGGTATTGTTAGAGATGGTAGGTGGTGATATTGTTAGATATGGTAGTGGTTGGTTTTGTTAGAGATGGTAGGAGTCGGTTTTATTGTAGAGATGGTAGGTGTTGGTTTTGTTAGAGATGGTAGGTGGTGGCTTTGTTAGAGATGGTAGGTGTTGGTTTTGTTAGAAATGGTAGATATTGGTTTTGATGGAGAGATGGTAGGAGCTGGTTTTGATGCACCTCTATGCTTTGCTTCAGGATCGCTCCAGAAGCTAAGATTTGCTAGTGTCGCTAGTCTAACAATAACCCCAGCCCTAACTCTTACAAAATGCCGAGCAACGGAAAAAAAAATACTTGATACGAAATGAAACTACTGTTAAAGAAACTATAGAGGGATCTTTTAAAATAAATTTTTAAAAAAAACTACTATTTTATCCAACATACATGAACTGAAGCACCTCTTTAAGGATGCCTTTAGTTAGCTGAAACACCTATTTAAGGATGCCTTTAGGTAGCTGAAACACCTATTTAAAGATGCCTTTAGTTAGCTGAAACACCCCCTTAAGGATGCCTTTCGTTAGCTGAAACACCCCCTTAAGGATGTCTAACGTTCCCTTGAACGCCGTTTTCCCCCACGCCATTCCTTTTTCCGAAGACCGATCAGCCTTCGATTACCCCCATATATCGATTGATAGACGAGTTACCTTTTTGGCCTGCAGTTGCTGGATGCCCTGCTGCGTCAACTTGATGAGCCGACAGACGATCTTCGCGTCGCCATTGACGAGCTTCATGTGGTTCGTGATCAGGTAACCTTTGGCCTTTGAACCTGCGACCAATAGGAAACGTGCGCCGAGTCAATCATGAGCCCCCCCCCCCCCCCTCAAGTTTACGATGTGCAGTGTTTAAGTTTACAGGGTGCTAAAAACAGTCAAAAATATTGTTTGTGTTGATTTCCTTATACCAGTGTTCGGTACTGGAACAGAATTAGAATCTTCTTTAAAAAGGGGTGTTAGGTTAGTAGTAGGGAACTAAATATTATGTGTAAATTAGCTTGTGTGAATGCTAACCTTAACCGTAACCCCAACCCTAGTCCTACCATGCGCCTAACCCTAATGTCTAACCATAAAACTAGTCGAGATTACAATACTATCAACAACCGAACACACCTGTTTTTGGAAGAGTCTATTATCGGACATTCTGTATTCCTCAATGGTCCCATTTGAGATGTTTTAATTTATTCTGCTAAAGAGATCATCCATTTATGATGTCAACACTGAGAGGGGGGGGGGGGGGGGTCCGAAAATTCACCTTTTAGGAACGCTAGTGGACGGGGTAGTGTCCATGGGGAGTCCCACAAGTGAAATTTAACACTACACTCGTCCTAATTAATGTTTACATGTTAACGTTTAAATGGTATTTTTAAGAAAATCAACGTTAACACGTACATCTAATTATTCACGGTATTTATATAAATACATCTAATTAATTCACGGTATTTATATAAATACATCTAATTAATTGACGGTATTTATATAAATATATCTAATTGATTCTAATTGACGGTATTTATATAAATATATCTAATTGATTCACGGTATTTATATAAATATATCTAATTACTTAACGGTATTTATATAAATACATCTAATTGATTCACGGTATTTATATAAATACATCTAATTAATTCACGGTATTTATATAAATACATCTAATTCCTTCACGGTATGTTTATAAATACATCTAATTAATTCACGGTATTTATATAAATAAATCGAATTAATTCATGGTGTTTATATAAATAAAGCGAATTAATTCACGGTGTTTTTATAAATATATCTAATTAATTATATCTTGGGAAGTCTTAAATGGATGAACCGCGATTTAAAAAAATACCTTTTTTTGATGTAGATGTAAAAGTGAAATATTAAGATAATTTTGATAATGAGATGTTGTTTTTTTAATTGACCTTTAGATGTTGTACAGAGTAAGTCGAGTTTACATATTACGTAATGGTACACCTTTTCCATAACATGTTACTTACTGCGTCATAGGTTACTTAGTATGTCATAGTACTCAATATTGCACCATAGGTTCAATACTGCACCATAGGTTCAATACTGCACCATAGGTTCAATACTGCACCATAGGTTCAATACTGCACCATAGGTTCAATACTGCACCATAGGTTCAATACTGCACCATAGGTTCAATATTGCACCATAGGTTCAATATTGCACTAACGGTTCAATATTGCACTAACGGTTCAATACTGCACCATAGGTTCAATATTGCACCATACGTTCAATACTGCACCATACGTTCAATATTGTACCATAGGTTCAATACTGCACCGTAGGTTCAATACTGCACCATAGGTTCAATACTGCACCATAGGTTCAATACTGCACCGTAGGTTCAATACTGCACCGTAGGTTCAATACTGCACCATAGGTTCAATATTGCACCATAGGTTCAATACTGCACCATAGGTTTAATACTGCACCATAGGTTTAATACTGCACCATAGGTATAATACTGCACCGTAGGTTAAATACTGCACCGTAGGTTAAATACTGCACCGTAGGTTCAATACTGCACCATACGTTCAATATTGCACCATAGGTTCAATATTGCTAGATATGTTACTAACTGCGTCATACGTTACCATATTCTGTATCATAGACTACGATTTTTGTCATAGGCTACCTGCTGCATCATAGTTTACCATCTGTGTTGCCTTATAGTTTACCATCTGTGATGCGTCATAGTTTACCATCGGTGATGCGTCATAGTTTACCATCTGTGTTGCGTTATAGTTTACCTATCATATTTTGCCAGACGACCCTCATGCCGGGCTGGTAACCGTTCTGATAGAAGGTGTTGAGGGGGGTGATGTCAATAGACACGGGTGGCTCGGCTTGTTCGCCCGAGGGGTAACCAGAGGGGAGGTCACGTGAGTTGAACGATTCAACAAACTTCCGGCAACCTGGTGGTGACAGGTATATGACATGTATATGACATGTATATGACATGTATATGACATGTATATGACATGTATATGACATGTATATGACATGTATATGTAGGATATTGGGGCACATTTACATTTGTTAGAGTAGTGTTATATATGTGCGTACGCGCTAACCCAAGCAGTCATATACGCAAGTAGCCTAAGCACAGACATTTATTTGTATTACTGTAAATATTTCATATACACACACATATATATATATATATATATATATATATATATATATATATATATATATATATATATACACATCAAACAAGGATGTACTTGACTCACCATCGGTGTTGGTTTCACTTTCACACACATTTTGTTCCTGAAATTTCAAGTGTATCATAAAAGGCATGTGTATAAGGGCATGTGTATAAGGGCATACCTGGTAGAATAAAACCTAAGTGTATTTCATGAAGGGCATGTGTGTTGGTGTTTAGTTGATGAAGGTGGCGTGTGTTTCATGAATTTGTAGTGGGGCGAGATAACAGGAAAAATTGACAGGTGTGAAGTGTGAGGGGTTAGGTGACACGTGTGAGGGGTGAGGTGTGGGTGACAGGGGTGGGGTGACAGGGGTGGGGCGAGATGTTGGGGTGATAGGTGTGAGGTGACAGGGGTGGGGTGAAGGGGTGGGGTGACAGAGGTGAGGGGTGGGGTGACAGGGGTGGGGTGACAAGGGTGGGGTGACAGGGGTGGGGTGAGGGGGTGGGGTGACAGGGGTGAGGGGATGGGGTGACAGGGTTGAGGTGAGGGGATGGGGTGACAGGGGTGGGGTGACAGGGGTGGGGTGACAGGGGTGGGGTGACAAGGGTGGGGTGAGGGGATGGGGTGACAGGGGTGGGGTGACAAGGGTGAGGGGATGGGGTGACAGGGTGAGGTGAGGGGATGACAGGGTGAGGTGAGGGGATGGTGGTGACAGGGGTGAGGTGAGGGGGATGGTGTGACAGGGGTGAGGGGATGGTGTGACAGGTGAGTGGGGTGACAGTGGTGAGGGTGACAGGGGTGGGGTGACAGGGGTGAGGGGATGGGGTGACAGGGGTGGGGTGACAGTGGTGGGGTGACAGGGGTGGGGTGACAGGGGTGGGGTGACAGGGGTGGGGTGACAGGGTGGAGGTGAGGGGAAGGGTGGGGTGACAGGGTGGAGGTGAGGGGGTGGGGTGACAGGTGTGAGGTGACAGGTGTGAGGTGACAGGGGTGAGGTGACAGGGTGAGGTGACAGGGGTGGGGTGACAGGGGTGGGGCGAGAGGGTGGGGTGGGGTGACAGGGGTGGGGCGAGAGGGTGGGGTGGGGTGACAGGGGTGGGGCGAGAGGGTGGGGTGGGGTGACAGGGGTGGGGCGAGAGGGTGGGGTGGGGTGACAGGGGTGGGGCGAGAGGGTGGGGTGGGGTGACAGGGGTGGGGCGAGAGGGTGGGGTGACAGGTGTGAGGTGACAATCGTTATAATGACCGAACAGAGGGGGAGTGTAGCAGGGTTTCTGTGTCAGTTAGCAACAGTATACTTATGTATTCTCAAGCCTAATGCCAAATGCTTCATGAACGAATGATCATACTTGTTTGTTCATTAAACTTGTACCTGGCTAAATTTAGTTCTACTCTAATTTATGGCTTATACTTATACTTATTGGACCGCGTGTGAAACAAAGATAAATGCTTGATACTGATAAATATTGATAAACAAAAAAAAGGGAGTCATTTTGCAGGAGTGTCTTTTGTAAATAGTTTAAAGATAGTATTTCTACCCCTAAAATTTGCCATAACCCTGACCCTAATCTTCATCGCTGTCTGTGCCCAAACGCCATCCCAAACCTAAACCCCAACAGCTAAAACTGCACGCGTGTTTACACCAGGAAAAAATTTGTAAAAAAAAAACTCAACTCACCACGGTTAAAAAGAGGAAAAAAACCACAACTCACCACAATTACACCAGAACAAAAAAAGTTGTAAGAAAAAAAACACAACTCACCACGGCTTCTCCGTTTTTGGCGATGGTTTCACATGTAGTAGAAAACACAGGCGTGGCACACCACAGCATCACCAGAAGTGGCAGCACCACTGCATGTCCTCTCATTATGGTGCTGGTGGTCCTCGCATCGCGTCCTACCATGGTCGTGCTGGTCGTTCTCTTAGCCCGGGCCCCAACATGGACTGGGGAGAAAAGGTAAGTCAAGGGGGCCCTGTGTCAATCAGTGGTTCTCTTAGCCCGGGCCCCAACACGGACTGGGGAGAGAAGGTAAGTCAAGGGGGCCCTGTGTCAATCAGTGGTTCTCTTAGCCCGGGCCCCAACATGGACTGGGGAGAGAAGGTAAGTCAAGGGGGCCCTGTGTCAATCAGTGGTTCTCTTAGAGGGGGCCCCAACATGGACTGGGGAGAGAAGATAAGTCAAGGGGGCCCTGTGTCAATCAGTGGTTCTCTTAAAGGGGGCCCCAACATGGACTGGGGAGAGAAGGTTTTAGTCAAGGGGGCCCTGTGTCAATCAGTGGTTCTCTTAGAGGAGGTCCCAACATGGACTGGGGAAAATCGGGTTTAGTCGAGGGGGCCCTACGTTAATCAGTGATTCTCTTAGCCGCATACTGACTGAAAACAAACCCTCGCTGTGTCGATCATTTTTCTATTTTCCATAACGCCATGGTACTGAGTCTTTCTCTGTTTCTAGAATTGAACCTATCTATGACCTGGACCTGAGCCTATCCGTAGATGTTACTCTATATCTATGACTCTAGAACTGAATCTAAGTCTGACCCTAAAACTGTACCTGTACACATTGAAGAAGAAAAAAAAACCAACTGGACATAGAATCTAAAACTCCTGCAACAAAAAATAAAATAACGACCACATTCATATTATAATTATAATAAGTATGTATAGTGTAGGCCCAATGCCCAATACTATAGTATATTAATGTAAATAAAATTCCCTTTCGACCCTGACGGTCCATGAAACAAGTAGAGAATAGCCAACAATAGCTAACCTGTTTACGCGACCTCAGCGTATGAAGGGGTAGTGTGAAAAGGACTATTCCAAGTGGCCTTTCTTTCCCTATCGTGAATGATTCTAAATGGTTTTAAAAACACACCTCTTTCATTCACCTACCATTTCAGCTGGAACTATTTTAGTTCTAATATCACGTCACTTCCGTTTCAGAAGTTGAACACGAAAAATGGTGCACAATATAGTGGCGTGAAATTGAACGTGCACTTTTTACATCACTTTTTTTCTACATCACATTTTTTCCTACATCACATTTTTTCTACATCACATATTTTCTATATTACATTTTTTTTCTACATCACATTTTCTTCTACATCACATTTTCTACATACAGCGTTCTACGTCACGATTTTTTTCTACTTCCCATTTTTCCTACATCACATTTTTTTTCTATATCACATGTATTTCTACATTACATTTTTTCTACATCCCATTTTTTCTACATCCCATTTTTTTCTAGATTCTACATCACATTTTGTTTTCCAGTGTATCACATGGGTTTTAAACGGTGTGGTTTATTAAAGGGAGACTACAAATTATTTTAATTTTTTTTTTTTAAATATTGATTAGCCTCCATGAGACTGTCTCATGATGTGTCTCGTTGTAATAACATAACTTTCCCGATTGATTAAAATTTGTATCATTTTAATTCTCTGTAATCCCAAATTTATTTCAGCTCTACTTAAAAACCCAAATTCCACCCTCCCCCTCCCCCCCCCCCCCACTCACCCACCACGCCGAGGGAAAAATATCCCTTGAATCATCATTTAATTACACATTTGCATTTTCAGGTTGTTTATTTATTGGTCTAGATCTATATGTATTTTGTAAAATCAATTTACGTATGAAATGAGTGCCGATTAGTTTTTTAATTTAGAAATAAGGTATTTAAAAAAAACTTTTAAAAATTAGCGTGCAAGACTTAGGTTGCAAGCAAAATTATATTAAAACCAACTTAATGCCTCATCAATCTAACAGCATTTACTATTATACAAGTACCCACAAGTATTACACAAAATGATATTACGCCAAGTAAGCTGACAATTGCATGGAGGCTAAACAACATAAAAAAAAATTAAAATAGTGTGTAGTCTCCCTTTAACCACACTGTTTTAAAAACCCATGTGATACGCTGGAGAAAAAAAAAGATATCTCAGCTCCGTCGGGAAGAAACTCAGTGATAAAAAAAATAGCAAAATAGCAAAAAAAATTTAGCTTTGTTGGAAAAAACGAAAACATCACTTTTTACTGACATATAATATGCGTGTCAAAGGCCGGTATATCAAATATACCGGTGTGATAGTCTAGCTAGATAAAAAAAACCTATTAAAACGATTAATCGGGAATTTGTTTCTGTTTTTTATTTGGCCTTCATATTTATTTGTGGGAGGTTAGATGTTTTTTTTTTTCTAATTTATTGTTTAGATTTAAAAAAATAAAAAAATAAAAAAAAAAAAAAGGTGTAGACGGCCTTTCATTAGAAATACAGTAATGATTTTCAGTGAAAAAAAAAGAGGTCTTTGTGCAAAATTGAAGTTAAACAGTAGAGCTTAAGTTTCTGAAAAATGAAGTTTTACAGTACATTAGCAAATCTTAGGTTTCATTAAAAAATGTTTTACAGTAAAACTTAGGTTTCATTACAAAGGTTTTACAGTACAAATTAGGTTTCATTACAAAAGGTTTTAGAGTAAAACGTAGGTTTCATTACAAAGGTTTTACAGTAAAACTTAGGTTTTCATTAAAAAGTGAGGTTTTACAGTATTTGTCAAGGTTGCACCGAACTAGCACTAGCACCTGCACCATTTTAGCACCTATTTAAGTCATCGTTCATATCATTCCTTGTATTTACTGCTGAAACTCGATGCTGTAACGTCCTGATACGAACACAGGTCTCTATCACATTACAAAAATTCGATGCCGGTGATAAGGAGAGAGGGGGGAGATAACTGCGGTTAATACATCATGTGAAAAGTAAAAGCAGAGTTACCGTTTATTAACGATTTTTCAAATGTAAAAAACCAGTAAAACGTGAAACAATTTGATACAACAGTAAACAGATAATGATTTTAAACAGTGATTTATTAGCAAAAGAAACATTTTTTTTAATCCACTGGTACATCTATTTAAAGGGAGAGAAGCACATATAGAAAAGTGGGTAGCAATTTTACAAAGAGTAACAGGACCGATAACTCAATTCGCACTTTCGTTTTTAAAATAAAAATTTCCTCTTCACGAGGAAGCAAGAGGAAGGAACTCTCATTTACGCTAAAGCCTGCTGTGTTATGGCCGTATTATGTAAGTAAAATGTCTATGGAATGCAGTGTTTATTTCTTCATGTAATAATCATGGGTTCGAGTCCCGATCACAAGTTTGCCACCTCGTTCACGTGAGTTGGGAGAGGGGGGGGGTGTTGTTCACTGTAGTGACATCATAACACCCGCGCCTACCTGCGTCACAAAAACATAATTTCTACACCTGTACGTCACACACCTGTTTTCTGCTTTACTGCTCAATTTTTGGACTTATAGAGTTTAGTAATTAGTGATCGCTAGGACATATGAATGGGTTGGAGGGGGTGGGTGGTAGGGTTGTCATCTGCATATGACGTCAGATTGATAGAAAGGGGGTGAGATCGGATTTGGTGAAATTAAGGAGAAAGGGCTGTAAAAAAAACTATGACGTAACACTTCCTGCATTTCGAAAATTGATTTTAAACCAAAAATGTGGCTGTTTGTTTCTCGTTTTACGGAGGTCGGTTGTTGAACCGATAAGTCCTGAGTTGGAACCCCTGGGCAGATGAGATTCGATAGCTGGGGACAGCAACTCTTCTAGGAGAGACAACTCCAAAATCAAATAGTTTGTAGTTTGTTCTTGGTTGGACAAAGGCTAGGCCTATGGAAGCAAATTCATAATTCGCCATATTAAAACTCTTTCAGAATATAGAAAAATTGCAATTGAACGTTGGGGGGGGGGGGGGGATTAAGTTTGGAATCGCGATTTCATTAAAATTCATTTATTTTATTTACAGGGAAAACATTGAGAAAAAAAAATCTAATCACTTAGTACCCTATAAAAACAAATTAAAATTGAACTTTAATATTTAACATTCCAACTTGGTTTTTTTTGTGTTCATTTTACTTTACAATTCGCTGTGCCGAAACAAATTTATTTCTAATTACTTTTAAACGACTGTGTTTGCGTGGACTATTTTCGTTAACCGCTTTTTCACGAAACGTGTCACAATCGGCTAATCAAACCAATCAACTCCAACAACAAGATGTCACGTGTTTTTCTACCGTCTGTTCCAAATGAAGTCACATCGCGCAAAAGAGTTACACGTGACCGTTTAATTTGAGCTGGTTATGACGGCGTTTCTGATTGGTCCTAAACTTTATTGGAGGGCTGTGTGCGTCATTAGCGGTAGAAAAAAACATTAATAAGTTAACGATCGTATTGAACAAAAAAAAAAAGAAACGACATTTGGCAAAACAGCTTAATAGTTTTTAGCAGCACTTTTTAAATATTAAACCTCAAAATATACGTTGCTTTATTGAATGAGCACTATAATAAACAGTAATAAAAATAAAATTTTTCAACAAAAAATATTAAATTAATACATTTTCGTTTAAACACTCAAACTAGGGAGCTAATCCAATTGAAGAAAATTAAAAACATTTTATCTTCGGTTACGTCCCTTTGATCTTATGT